TGAAGTTTTACAGATCTTCTTTTCACTCCGTGCAGCCCAGTTTTGACACACAAATTTCGTTTCAGGGTGTGCCGTGGACAAGTATCTGCTTAATAATCTTGAATATCCAACAGATCTGATGGCAGGCCAGGAGGCACATGCGTACAAATATGCAGATCGGGAGCAGCTCTTCTATCAATGTCAAGTCTCAATTTCAGTCAAGGAGCCAAATGAAGCATGTTCGCGACCGCAGTGCGCCGAACCACTGGGATTCGGTGCCAGAAAGGTGGAAAAAGCCTATGGCAAACAACCGACCAGAAGGCGAAGAAACACCGATGTGCGTGATGTTGTAGATGTGCGAGCCGAATTATCCGCACTTGATATAACTGACCAGGTTTTATTTGTGTTCTTTTGTTGGATCTACACGAGCGTCAGAATGCAGATTTAGAATGCGTAAAGCCGCTTCGCAGAGTTACGTGGGTAGCGTCCGAACGCACACTCTCGAATTTTTCTTACACTTTTTCGTCTGACTTTCGCAAAAAATGCATCATAGCACATTGAAAACTCGGTGTTTTGTCTCGTCCGCCTCTAGATCTCACATTCAAATGCAGGTAGGACACATAGGTACTCTCGAATAAAATAAACAAACTAGGAGTCTGAAATTCCAGCACTTTTCACACGATGAACTTATACTGTGGAGAAAAAGGCACGCTGAACATATTTTCCCACATTCAGGCACTGTTGATTGGTGGCCACTCACTGCAAAAACCAAAGAACGCGCCGGTTTACTCGTATACGACGATGTTTACTTCCAGAGGCTGACTTTTTTTTTTCAATTTCAGGTTATGAACTGGCCGGTAGCGAGAGTTGCCGAGTCGCTTAACGAGAAGGCTGCAGTCTCGCAGAAAGTTGTTTGCATTCCTCATCTGGTCCTTAGCACCACATCGCTCGGACTCTTTACAGCATTTTCACTTTGTGCTTGCGTAATGTATTTTTGGACTTCGTACAAGTCCACGTAGTAACTCAGTGGTTATTTGTTTTTCAGGCACTAGATGTGTGTGTGTAAGTATGTGTGTATGCACGTTTGCGCATGTATGCTTTTTGTCAATCTTCCTGTCATGTACCTCCCGGAGCGTGAGGTTGGTGCTGGACGCAGCTTCGCCAA